GATTCCCTTTTATTCCAGAAGTTTGGTCCTTAAGGGGTTAAATAAAATTTATGGTAGGTGTCCTGGTCTCACTGTAGATTGCTAAATTAAGATCTCAATAGATATGCCACAGAGCTATTCCCAGCACTCTTCAGACAGGCCTGTCAGTCACAATTTCTAGTGACAGACTCTATTGTCTAATAGACCTCCAGGTGAAGAGCTAGGTTTCCGAGTTCTATGGTCTGAAACTCCACGGTGTCAGTATTTACTGCCTGGGCAGTCAGAAGGTTCTTATAGTCTACCTACATACAAGATACTTGAAGGTGGCCTACCTACATAAAAGATACTTGTAGGTTGTCATGAAGCCTTTGTAGATTGTCATGAATCATCTGAAGGTCTGTTCTGAGAGAAACTTGTAAAACTGGGGATTTCGTTTGGTCGGCCGTGCCTTTATTAGAGACTCTCAATTCACGCCAGGTGGAGCGCTGACCAGTTCTTCCCATAATGGATGTTTGCTCTCGATAATAACGTAAGCAGTGTTGGAGTTGGAAGAAGCTCAAAATTAAGTACCCATATTCCTCAACCCCTCCCCCTTCAATTCACTTAAATTCACTGTTTAGTGAATAAACATATAGGAACACGTTCCTAGTGTGGTCTTAGGTAGGAAAGTAGGGTTATAAATTACTGACAGCACAAACCTCTATATATTATCATACTGTAAATGAGATGTTGAGACGCTTTGTCATAAATGATATCTTTGTCAGTAAAAGAGTGATACAGTTAACACAACAAAGTGCATATCAATTACATAATAATTTATAGAATTGTACAAATTTGTGAAAACATAATATCTTTACCTTAATTCGGATTTCATGGCCTTTTGGTGGAGCCACTTCCACCTCCTCAATCGAAAATGGTTCATGTGCCTGCCAGGTAACAGCTGCCTTGCATTTGATAACCTATCAATAAAACATAATACATTATGATTTTAATATTTATTTTATGGTTTATGACATAAAATCTATCTCTATCTATCAAAGAATTCAAAGAACTTTCCCACGCTGTGTAAAATGACACAGAGCACTCTGATTTGTTAGCTTGAAATCCAGCCAATCAGAGTGCTCTGTGTCATTTTACACAGCGTGGGAAAGTTCTTTGGAATTTTCCCACGCTGTGTAAAATGACACAGAGCACTCTCATTGGTGGATTTCAAACCAACCAATCAGTGCTGTGACAGGTAAATGTAGTGACTTACCTATTTACCTGTCAGAGCACTCTGATTGGATGGCTTAAACCCACCAATCAGAGTACTCTGAGCCTAATTGCAGGGCACGGCAAGGCTTTATAAGCCTTCCCCCTGTCTGCGCGGAACCCTCCATGGCTGAAGAAGGTTTTTTTTTTTTTTAAATGCGTCGGTTATTCTGGATTTTAATTGGCCTTTTTTGGGGCTGAAAAAAGAGATTTTAGAAGAAAGAAGACATCAAATGGAAAGTCATTTTTTTTTTTTTTTTACAGGTATTTAGACAAGGGTCCCCCCTCATTATTTTTAGGATGAGGGGCGTAGGTAGGGGTAATTTTTTGGAGGGGAGGGGGTGACTAGGGGTTTGGGGACCCCTAGTCACCTGGGGGGGTTTATTTAGGGCTCACACCCACCGCACTGGGGTGGGGGCCGGGGGGAGGACATTAGGACCGCCCCTTATTGTTATGTAGGGCCCCCACTACCGCGCAGGGGTGGGGGCCGGGGGGAGGACATTAGGTCCCCCCCAATTTTTATTTATGGGCCCCCAATTTTTATTTATAGCCCCCACCCACCGCTCAGGGGTTGCGGCCGGGGGGGAAGGAAAGTAGGTCCCCCCTCTTATTGTTATTCAGGGGCCCCACCCACCGCACAGGGGTGGGGGCCAGTGGGGAGGACAGTATTGTTATTTAGTGCCCCCACCCACCGCTCAGGGGTGGGGACAATATGTCCCCTTCCTTATTGGTATTTAGGGCCCCCACCCGCTGCTCAGAGGTGGGGGCCAGGGGGGCAATAGGCCCCCTTTTAGTTTAAAAGCCCCCACTCACGAGTCGCGGGTGGGGGCTCGGGAGGGGGAATTTTTTTTAATTTTTTTTTTTTTTTTTTTTAACAGTGAGCAGCCACAGGCTGCTCACTGTTTTATAGACACACCCCTACTCACCAGGGCCGGACTGGGGATACGAAGCAGCCCTGGGAAAAAATCTATGCCAGCCCCATAAGTCATTGTGCTATGTAGGGTGTATTATTTATATTTATAAATATATATATTATTAATACATTTCTTCTTCTAATTCAAAATATTAGTCCTTTTAGGGTAATTTAAATTATACAGTAAAGCATACTCACATAAAGACACAGACAATCTTACTGATGCACACAAATAGGCTCATTGACAGACAATTTCAATGACGCGCACACACACAAATTTAGTACAGACAAAACTCTGATACACACACAAGCTTACTACAGACAAGCTCACTGATGCACACACACTCTCCCTACAGACAAGCCCATTGACACACACATGTTCCCTACAGAAGAGCTCACTAACACACAGAATCACTACAGACAAGCTCACTGACACACAAATGCTCACTACAGACAAGCTCACTGACACACATATGGTCACTACAGACAAGCTCGCGATCACACACATCCTCAACACAGACAGGCTCAGACACACCCATGCTCCCTACAGACAAGCTCACTAACACATGCACACACACACATGATCCCTACAGACAAGTTCACTGACACACATACAAGCTCACTTACTAGCAGGCACACACACACACACACACACAAACTCACTAGCAGGTGCACACACACAGAAGCTCCCTCACTAGCAGATGTGCGCGCACACACACACACACACACACACAAGCTCGCTCACTCACTAACAGATGCACACACACAAAGACATCCACACACACAGAGGCAGACAGTTACTGACACCAAGGCAGACATCCACACATATAGAGACAGGCAGACAGCCCCCCACAGCCACAAACACACAGGCAGACAGTCACACACACAAGCAGACAGTCACACAGTCACACACACAGGCAGACAGTCACACAGTCAAACACACAGGCAGTCACAC